AAATTTAATTTATTGTAATTTATACAACAAACAATTTATATAATTTTACAACAAAATAAATTTGTGTGGACTCGTATGTTAATTTTTTTAAGTAATTAATACTTGCATGTTAATTTTTGTAAGTAATTAAGTAATGTTAACAATTACATGTTAATTTTTTTAAGTAATTAAGTAATGTTGTATATAATTATTTCCTAGGATAATTTTTTAATATGTTTAATGTTATTTATTATTTTATTTCCCTTACCATTTTCAAAGCCATTCCAGATCAATTCCAAAGCTTAAACACAAACGGTTCCATATTTAAGGTAAGTTTACAAACTTAAATTTATATTATTGTAATTTATACAACAACAAATAAATTTGTGTGGACTCGTATGTTAATTTTTTTAAATTAATTACTTGCATGTTAATTTTTGTAAGTAATTAAGTAATATTAACAATTACATGTTAATTTTTTTAAGTAATTAAGTAATGTTGTATAATTATTCCCTAGGATAATTTTAATATGTTTAATGTTATTTATTATTTTATTAATATTAGGTTTTATTATCAAATTGGATTATTATTCATTAATATTAGGTTTTTTTTTATTATCAAATTGAATTATTATTCATTAATATTAGGTTTTATTATCAAATTTGATTATTCTTCATTAAATTGGATTATTCATTAAATTGGATTATTATAAAATTGGATTATTATTCATCACCATGTTTTATATTAGGATTATTTTTTTTATCAAATTGGATTATTATTCATTAATATTAGGTTTTTTTTAATTATCAAATTGGATTATTATTCATTAATATTGGGTTTTATTATCAAATTGGATTATTCTTCATTAAATTGGATTATTCATTAAATTGGATTATTATCAAATTGGATTATTCATTAAATTGGATTATTATCAAATTGGATTATTCTTATTAAATTGGATTATTCATTAAATTGGATTATTATCAAATTGGATTATTATTCAGTAATATTAGGTTTTATTATTCCATATTATTTGTATAATTACTTAAATTTTTACAATCATTTTCATTACTTCGTATTTAATTCTTCTGTAGAATAACTTTATTATTTAGGTTCTCTTATTTTATCAAAAAATAATTGTCTAATTTTCATGAAAAATAAATATAGGTACGTTTAAGATGTCCAGTGGAGTTACTAAACGTGATCCAGCTTGGGAACATGAAGACCCAATAGACGGAAACAAACATGGCACAATTTGCAAATATTGTGGTCGGGTAATGAAGAGTGGCAGAGTGACACGACTTAAGTACCATCTTAGTGGATTAGATCCAGTAAAAAATGTCCAACGATGCGATAATGTCCCCCCAGAAGTGAAGGCATTCATCAACACATTATTAAAAAATAAAAAATAGCAGAAGGAAAAGATAACACATGGAATGGAAAATATTCGAGCTGGGCTACGAGGAGAAGTCATTGGCCAAGCGGTTGACAGTGATGATGATGACGATGAGGACGAATGTGATGATGACATGGGACCTAAAGAACGACGCAGTTTGAAACAAGCATTACGTGCCTCCAAACAGTCAGCATGGGAAAGAGAACACCTTCATAAAATTCCTAATAGAACACAAGGTTCCGGGACAAGTGGTGGTGCACAAATGAGACGGGGAGGTAGTCTTAGAGAATCACAACCAACACCACCAATAGCCCCAAGTTTATATAAGTCATCCAAAACACGTCAAAAGAGTGTTTGGAGTTATTTCACTGGAGGTAATGTGAAAGAGGGAATGGGGCGTCTAATTAGCAAGTTCTTTATCTATGAAAATGTCCCTGCTGAGAAAGCATCATCACATCATTTCAAAAATATGGTAGTGGGATGTCAACAGGCTGGTGTTGGAGTACAACCTCCCACTCCCTATGAGATAAGAAACAAATATTTGGATATGGAGTATAAAGACATTGGCGAGTATGTTAACAAGTTGAGGTCAAAGTGGGAAACTAATGGTTGCACAATCATGTGTGATGGATGGACCGGCCCGACCAGATTGTCTATCATAAACTTCATGGTATACTCCAAGGGAAAGACAATTTTTTTTAAGTCTGTTGATGCTTCAGACCATATAAAGAACTACAAGTATATTTACAAATTATTGAGGGATGTAATCATGGAGGTGGGAGAGCATAATGTTATCCAAGTCGTGACCGACAACGGTTCTGCATTTGTCAAAGCTGGAAAAAAGTTAATGAAGCATCATAATGTGTTTTGGACATCATGTGCAACACATTGTATTGATCTCATGTTTGAGGCAATGGGGAAGAGAGGAATGTTGCTACTGTGGTCAAAAGAGCTAGAACGATCACAAATTATATTTACAATCACGGTTGGTTGTTGGCAAAGATGCGTGAATTTTGCAAAGGAGAAATTATTCGTCCAGCTACCACTCGATTCGCCACCAACTATATTGCATTAGACAGCCTACTTAAGAAGAAAGCAGGGTTGAAGCAACTATTCACTAGTGACGATTGGGCCAACCACAATTTCAGCCGCTCAAATGCAGGTCGTATGGTGGAAAGTATAGTGCTTGATCATGCTTTTTGGACTCAATCAGAACATGTGTGCCAAGTGTTTGAACCTCTTTATAAGGTTTTACGGATTGTTGACACAGAAGTGTATCCTACTATGGGGGCAGTATATGAGTTGATGCGTGTAGTGAATGATGAATTGGAAAGAAAACATGGTGCAAGGTGGGTCATAAAGATAATTGAAGACCGATGGTATAAAACATTATACCACGATTTGCATGCAGCAGGTATAAATTATGTCATAATTTGCAATTCATTTCTTTAGTTGCATAAGTATTATTTCTCTTATTAGGGTATGTGTTTCTTTGAACAACATATTATTTGAATCCTCGATATCAATACAAACCCGGTGTTGGAGATGATGGTACCTTTATACGTGCTGTACATAATGTATACTCTAAATTAGACCCTGCATCACCAGCAGTTGGCCAATTTGGAAATGAGGTACACAATTACTTAAATTATAATAATTACTTTGTTGGATTAAACTAACACGATTTATTGAATTCAGCTAACATGGTTTAAAGATGCAAGAAGAACTTTTGGAGAACCAACATCAATTGCTGCTCGAACAACAATGTCTCCTAGTGAGTGTAAACATATTTCACTATAAGTTTATAATAGAATTTGTTGGAGTTATTAGGCTTATCAACATTGTTTTTCATTGTAGCTGAATGGTGGATCATGTATGGGACCGATGCACCAACTGTGAGAAGGTTAGCAATCAAAGTATTATCACAAACAGCTTCCTCATCTGCTTGTGAAAGAAATTGGAGCACATTTGCACTCATACACACAAAGCAAAGAAATAGGTTGGCTCATAGTAGGTTGGAAAAATTAGTGTATTGCTACTACAACATGAAGCTTCAAATTTGAGATAAGGAAGCAGAAATAGATCATGTCGACCGTGGTGACCCACTAGATGTGTTTGATATTGTTGGTGAAGATGATGATACAGACAGTAACCAACTTTATCAATGGATTAGACCTCTTCATTTAGATGATGATGAAGGCAACCCAGCTCCTAGAGTTGCTGAAGAAGCACGTAATGAAGGGATAAATGTAGAAAGAGTATTAGAGGAGGAGGTGGGATCTAGCAGCGCTGACTCTTTGAAAGAACTTTTGCGCCCAAGACCAAGAAACACTGGAATTCCACATTCTTCCAATCCTACACAACCACAACATCGTGCTGATACTAATGATAGCTCTAATACAAGATCAGGAGACTCACCTACCACTGGATGTGGGAATGATGAAGGATACAGTGGAGCTGGAGGTAGTGGTGGTGGATATGGAAACTATTATGGACCACCACCTCCCGGATATATGACCCCCTTCACTGGTGAGGCAAACTTCACGCATGCAACACAAGATGATGACCATGGCAGTAGGCGGGTAGGACCAGGAATTGGTACCATAGGGAAGGACTATACTCGTAGAGAAAGAGGCAAGGGGATTTTGTCAAGTCAAAAAGATGACTCGTTATCTAGAACTTCGGACTCTGTTGGAATGGGAAGTAGTAACTATGGTTATACTCATAACCAACCATTTCCCTACCCTTCATATCCCATTCCTGTTGGGATGGAATCGAGCGACTCATGGAAACAATCCCAGACTCAATCTTCAAATTATTTTGCTTATGGACAATCTCAACCAATCTCGGATCCATATGGGTGGCATGTTAACAATCATATGCAAAACTATTTTGGGGATTTATTATTTGATAACTACTCTTCACAATACACTCACTCTACACATAGAGATGATGAAGATAGTGAAAAATTTGAACCTCATAGGAACTCTATGTGGTACTAAAGTGTAAAATATTGTACTAATTCATTATATATAAATGATTATGGTGTGTTTAGACTTCTTTCATTAATTACTACATATTTTCTACACTCACAATGTTTGTCAGCTCGCTATATAATCAACTTGATAATGTTAAATCCATCATGCAATGCATTTCCTTCCAATTTTTTGTGATAAACTAATAGATAATTGACTAAATAAACATCCTGCAAAGTTTCAATAAAAATTTCCAAGTTTTTCTTACAATTTCCGTGGTTTCCATGTAATTTTTATCGATATCGATATTTTCCCGATATTTCCATCGATATTTCCGTGTTTTCGGACTACCGATATTTCCGATATTACCGATATTTAATACCTTGTTCTTAAGGTGGGTAGTGGATATGCATGAGGCTGATATGATCATCTCCTTGGCAACGGTGCGACCGAGTTGAGCAATGGACTCGTGTCCTTCTTACTGCAAGTCAAACAACCGTTTTGACAGAGCAAAGCAGATGCGTGGCATTACCCCAAACCTCTAGAGCCCCCCATCAGCCACGTTCGCCCCATCACATGACACATCCTCCTCTCTCTGCCTCCTCATTCACCTTCCAACCCTCCCTCTATATAACCCTGATTTCCCTCCAAACAGCAACGAATACCAAAAAGAGTGTTTACTTCATTGCATCAAACTTTGTGAGAACAACTAGAGGTTGGAAATTAAGAAATGGCGTCGGAACAGGAAAAACAAGACCCCCAGAAGAGAAATGAGCTGGACGAGAAGGCAAGGCGGGGAGAGACCATCGTGCCCGGTGGTACTGGTGGCCATAGCCTTGAAGCACAGGAGCACCTTGCTGAAGGTAACTAATTCATTAAATTACTCGTCTTTCCACTTCTGCCGCGAGAGAGAACTTTTCATGCACATATTATGTTATATGCAAGGGTAGCAGCATCTCGAGACCTGAAAGTAAACAAAATATGGTAATTTATGTGGTAGTGAGTGATAAGGGTTATATATGTGTGTATGTATATAAATCCTTATTTAATACTGCTACCGTTGCATTCCAGGTGAAGGTAAGTTTCGACATTTTAGTTACTCAGTCTGAATTTTTGTGTGTGGTGATTAGGGCGGAGCCGTGGAGGGCAGACGAGGAAGGGACAGATAGGGGAAGAGGGGTACCATGAGATGGGAAAGAAGGGCGGGCTGAGCACCACTGACAAGCCCGGAGGAGAGCGTGCTGCTGAGGAAGGCATCAAGATTGACGAGTCGAAGTTCAAGACCAAGAATCGCTGATCATGATTTTGAAGCAGCATGGGTGGCTCCCAAAACTCCAAACCCTCTTTGGTTTTTGATGTTTCTTGCTACGTCAGTGTCTGTAACATAAAGTTATACCAAGGAACAGTATTTTGCTTATTTTTCCCTTGTAGTAGCTAGTGTTACCGATAGTGTCTTTTTGCATAAAGTGGTAGCTAGGAACGGTGTTTTGCTTATTTTGCCCTTGTAGTAGACCACTCTTGTAATCTCCTTCTTGTTTAATTTTCCTCAAGTCATCTGTTAATGGCATTTTCCCGTGGTTTCCGTTTCCATAATATGTTTTCTTCATACGTCCAAGCCTTTTTTCGTGTGCAACAAAATTTTGCTTGTAGCTGTCGGGGAATTCTTGAACGAACATTGTGTATGAGGAGAGATTTTTTAATGTAATCGGTACACATGGTAGTACATTATTTGTTACTAAATAAATTGTGAGATATATGTGCTAAAAATTTAATAAATTAAAAAATAAAATTTCCTATCATTTTTATTAAAATACGTGGTGTACCACTTGTATTTCTGTCACAACTAAATCGTATTTCTAGAGACAGTTGGAGAAATTTTGAATATTTGACGAGCTAATACTCAAAAGAGGGCTTATTACTTACACAAGCATGCATGCTTCCGTCACCACAGAAAAATGTCATCTGCAGCATTTGCTGTTAATTTTTTGACTGAATTATTTTCGTCCTTTTTTCCTTGAATCATTCAGCAAATATTCATCACATGACTCGAAAAAATCCCAATCAGTTGGAAGTTTAAACCCTCTTTTGAAACCTTTGTAGCGCATTACAAAGGCAAAGGCAGAAGAAATTTGAACACATGACTGCATGTTTCATACATATGTCTTCTTATCTCGTCAAACTCAGGCGACAATACACAGAACACGGTATAAAATATGGATATGAGAGCCTCCTAACGTTGAGGAAGATGAAAGGAATTGAAACGACACTATTTAAACAAGTGTGGATTTGATAGTGATTAGAGACGACTATTTGTGAATCAGGAATGGGTTCTGGTGTGGTCCAAACCCTAGATGAAGTATTGGTCGAAGTCGAAGATCAGGGTTGATCTCTGGTGTGGCCGAGTCTTAAGACGAGAAAGAATTGTTCCGAGGATTATGATTGGATTCTGAATCTGACTTTCCCAACGAAGATTGAATTAATATTACATGACTAGTTCAGAATTTTAGTTCTGAATCTTGTCTTCCGATTTTAGAACTCAAGGCCGAAGATTGAATGAATTACGTAAATAAGACTAAGTTCACAATTTTAGTTTTGAACTTTGTCTTTTAGAACTCAAAACCGAGAGTGTTTCCCCCTCGACCGAAGTTGCTCGATTCATAAGTCAGCAGCACAATCTACCACGTCATTATATTAAGTAATACTCACTCGACCGAACTATATTAAGTACTACTCACTCGATCGAGTTCGGTATAGAATTGGCACGTCCGTATCAGTATTAAAGTTGTTAAATAATTCTTAATTACTTCGACTTGTGTGTTACGTAGACTATAATTGTTGGTGCAGTATAAAATAAGGATATGAGAGTCTTTATGATGAAAGTAAATGAAACGGCACTATTCAATATAGAAAACGCATTTATAGAAAGTGTAGATTTGAGAGTGACGACGATGTGAGTAGAACTTTTCTTTAAAATTTATGTTAGGGATATTCTCGCTTTAATTGACTACAATATACATAATACACTGTAGCAGCACATTGCTTCCCCCTATGGCGTGAAAAAAAGATGTGGAATTATAGCTGTGATGAGCCATGAAGCCATGGACTCGTGGCATTCTCGCTGCAACTTCTTCACTGACAAAACACCTACGAGCCTACGAGGCATTGCCCCAAAGTTCCAAATCTCCGCATCTGCCGCTTTTACCCCCATTACGTGTCACCTCCTCCTCCCTTTGGCAGTCCTCACTCGCCTTCCATCCCTACCCCTACCCGTTTGAAAACCACCATTTCCATCAAATTTAACTCAAGAGTTTGTGGGATTAAAAAGAAAGAGTGAGAAACAGGAGAAAGCTAACTTCTATAATCGAGTTCGGTGATATTTTTGGTATATGAGATGCTATCACACGTAAAATCATACTCGATTCGACGGAATCCTTTTGATCTTAAAGGGGTCTTCTATAATTTCGCACGTGAAATGACATCCGAACATGAAAGGCGAGACCCTGGGAGAAGGCAAGAACTGGACCAAAAGGCAAGGCAGGGAGAGACCGTTGTCCCCGGTGGAACCGGCGGCAAAACCCTCAACGCTCAGGAGCACCTTGCTGAAGGTAAATATTAAAACATGCACCCTGAATTACCATTTACCATGTGTGGTTTTTTGTACCTGGCTAATGATGCGTGTGCATGGCCCTGAAGGACGCCACCGTGGAGGCGAGGCCAGGAAGGAGCAGCTGGGAAGTGAAGGGTACCGGGAGATGGGCCACCGCGGAGGCTAGGCAAGGAGCAGCTGGGAAGTGAAGGGTACAGGGAGATGTGCCACTGTGGAGGCGAGGCGAGGAAGGAGCAGCTCGGTCATGAAGGGTACCAGGAGATGGACCACCACGGAGGTGAGGCAAGGAAGGAGCAGCTCGGTCATGAAGGGTACCAGGCGATGGGCCACCACGGAGGCGAGGCGAGTAAGAAGCAGCTCGGATATGAAGGGTACCAGGAGATGGGTCGCCATGGAGGAGGTGAGGAAGGAGCAGATTGGACAGGAAGGGTACAAGGAGATGGGCAAAAACTGACATCTGAACATGAAATCCTTTGAACTTAAAGAGATCTTCTATAATTTCGCACGTGAAATGACATCCGAACATGAAAGGCGAGACCCTTGGAGAAGGCAAGAACTGGACCAAAAGGCAAGGCAGGGAGAGACCGTTGTCCCCGGTGGAACCGGCGGCAAAACCTCAACACTCAGGAGCACCTTGCTGAAGGTAAATCTTAAAACATGCACCCTAAATTACCATTTACCATGTGTAGCTTTTTGTACCTGGCTAATGATGCGTGTGCATGGCCCTGAAGGACGGCACAGTGGAGGCGAGGCCAGGAAGGAGCAGCAGGGAAGTGAAGGAAAAGGAAGGAGCAGCTGGGAAGTGAAGGGTACATGGAGATGTGCCACCGTGGAGGCGAGACAAGGAAGGAGCAGCTGGGAAGTGAAGGGTACGGGGAGATAGGTCACCGCAGAGGCGAGGCGAGGAAGGAGCAGCTTGGTCATGAAGGGTACCGGGACATGGGCCACCGCAGAGGCGAGGCAAGTAAGAAGCAGCTCGGACATGAGGGGTACCAGGAAATGGGTCGCCATGGAGGCGAAATGAGGAAGGAGCAGATTGGACAGGAAGGGTACCAGGAGATGGGCAAAAAGGGCGGGCTCAGCACCAAGAACAAGTCGGGAGGAGAGCGTGCTGCCGAGGAAGGCATCGAGATTAACGAGTCCAAGTACAAAACGAAGAGCCGCTAATATGGATCGTTAACCAGTGCTTCCAAGCTCAAGGCATCCGACTTGTAGTTTTTGTTATTAGGGTTTTCTAAGTTTTATTAGGGTTACGAAGTTTGGTTTCACTAGGGTTGTAGGAGTGCACGGTGTATACTGTCTTTGTCCTTGGTATGTGGTTGTAGTAAGAGTGCTTGTTGTCCAAGTATGTTTTCAGCGTCGGAAATCAAACACACGCCGCGTCCTCTTTGTATCTAAACCTGGGCTTGTCCAGCTATACAGCTACCATCATCGGCGCCGCATGGGGGATTGGGAGAAGCAAGAGACAGTGCTACCGAAGAAGGCCTAAGTTGTGTTTGGGATATTTACAGCAGCTACCTCCATTTGAGAAGGCACTAACCAAAAACAGATGATAATTCTTAATCGTCGGCGTCAACATAACTTTGCTACTACAAGTGAAGAAGACATACTTTGACATTGATACTTCTACCTGACTAGCATAGCACTGTACCAGGTGGTCCTGTAATTTCGATCTCTCTCTCTTTTCTTCACATCCTTTGCTCAAGTGCTTCAAAATGTTAATGACTTGTCGCCAACGCTGTCACTAAAAGACCGAGCACAAGAAACGGCTGCGCACTCGCCTGGAACACACGCAGAGCAAATTTCAATATCTCATTCTTCGATGGTACAAAATTGGATATTTAAGTAGGGGTTTGAAGGAATGAAAATCCTAGAGCATATCAATGGATAACATAAATTGCGGAATTTAACGGCTGAACATGCGCTCAAGAATCTAATGGAATTAACGGATGAATCTGAGCCATTTAGAAGGGCAATGTAGCCTCTTGAAAGAATACCTGATATTTAACATCGTACTTGACAGGGTCTTTGAGAAAGTACTTGAACTGCACAGCACAAATTGCATAAACAAAGTACTTATGAGCTATGATGTCTATCAAAATCTGTCTTATAAAACCGGGAAGAGAAACATTTAAGATTTAATATAAAATTAGCATAAGATTACGGTCACCATTCAGCAGAATCAACAGTCTTTGAAAAAGAGATGTACCTGGAAAAAGACTTGGGGAGCTATCAAAGCAAGGAGAGCTAATGCATAATATGGTTTACCAGCCGCTAGCAGATAACCTGCAAACCAGTCAATAGACGGCACGATGAATCGTCTTCATTTGTACGATTAACTCTAATTTGTATTCGAAACTATCACAGGACGATCGGAACTATCATAAACAACACAATCCAAAGGTCAGATAATCAAGCAATCAGCTTCAACGGTCTGCTTAACGAAGATAACATACCAGCGACCGATAACTGAGTGATGTCAATGGCGCCAACACAAATCCATTTGGCAGTTTCAGAACCAAAAGCTACAGGGAGTGACTGCAAACAGGATTGCCACAAATAATGTTACGTTTGCTGCAACTAAGATTGTTAACAGTATTGTAATAGAGAAGATTAAAACCTGAAGCCCCAGTGCTCTATCTCCTTCAACACTTTTAAAGTCGTTTACAATAGCAATTCCCAACTGAAATGTGGGAAGAATAAATATGCAGTCAGTTGGACTGGAGCATGCTATGTAAGCACATGTTAAGATGCTTCTTTCAGATACATACCCCAGCTATGCTGTACAAGAGTGTGAGGACGATTATGTCGGGCGTAAGGGTCCCAAATAATGCCTGACCAGCCCACCTATCAATAAGAGATTGAACTGAAATCCATTACCCAGCACTATGGACATCAAAACAGTTTCTAACATTCAACCAAATCATATGAATTTATTGGTCGCGGTTCTTGAATAGACTTTAAGACTGTTATAACAAGACTCCTAAGAAGTATCCAATTACGTGAGCGAGGAAAGATAATAAACAATTAATTCAATGCATTTCTTATACAATTAATATCAATCTGAATTACAGAAGGATCCCTGAATCAAGAGTTCTTGACCCTTTATATGAAAGATCTAATTCTTGTAAGTTCACAAAAGAAAGATAAGGCAGGGAATACGCACCATGGCAAACTGATATAACTTGCACCCAGGGCAAAATTTCCAATCCATCCGTTTTGTTTCAGCTGCAAGCAATAACCCATGAAGCACAGTCAAGGCTTAAGCAAAGTTTCTTCTCGAACATCAAACTAAGCAATTCGTTTGATTTGTGATAGGTGGGGGGAAAAAACTACCTTTAAAGGTGGAGCGGAATAAATGTACGATAGCAAGGATCCACCCACAGCAAGGTAAAATAATATTGGGAATTTATGTCCTGCCTGAAAAGGACAGCTATTCATGATTGACATCTGATCTAAATATTTGAAGGTGTAAGAAAGAGCCAGTCCATCATGCGAATACTTACCCACACATCTAATATGCCAGCGAAACTAAGGCCTCCTAAAAGCAGCACCCAGATTTGAGTAATAACCTGAAGAAAAACAAAGAACCAGATTGAAAATGCAATCTTCACCAAAGAATTTTTATACAATAAAGCAAAATACAGCTAGTACCCTTACCTCATTCTCAGATATTGCCCCTGAGGGAATTGGACGATAAGGTTCATTAATTGCATCGATCTCTCGGTCATACCAGTCATTTAGTGTCTAAAGAAAAGGCCATGGAATTATTGGACTATAAAGATCTCATCAAACAAAACCAAAAACCGAAATCAACTTTCCATCCCAAGTAAATCATACCTGGGTATAGCCAGTGAGCAAAGGGCCAGACATACACATGCACATTATTGATTTAGCAACATCCTCAAAAGTCCAATGAAAATTTCCTGCAACATGAAAAATTTCCTCAAAAGCAATTCATGGACAGAGGATAAGCATATAGGGGTGATTTTCGGTCAGATCCGATCAGAAACAAGCATTCCAATGCCAATCCAAAAACCTTTCCGGAATCAAATATTTGTTCCAATTTTGGAATTTAGGATTATCGAAATTTATCAGAAATTTCGGAGTTGGTTTTATCTTGGAATTTTCAGAACATGATTCGGATCTCCTACATTTTACAAGAATGAAAAAAAATTTCATTGACCACTTTTGCAGACGAGCATACCAGAAGCAGCAGCTCCGCAAACTACTCCCCATACCAGTGGAGGCCAAGTTACAGGCTTTGTCAGCTGAAGACGAATCTTCCACTTGTTCTGCACAGTTTAACTCACAGATCAACTCCTGTCTCACATTTCTTGCCACTATGATCCTATCAACTTAATATCCACTAAAAAAAGCATATTAACTTCTAGCATCATCTGAGGAAACCCACATTATGCAAAAACACCAACGCACATAGAGAGAAGGTACTCAAGCTTTGAACTTGTATACTAAACTAACATTGATGACTTACAGTTTCTTGAGAAGCTCCTTTAATCCCAAGAAGCTGATTGACGCTCGAGCCGGCTTTAGCCGGTGCCTTATCCGGCACTGAAGATTCAACTGCTAAACCAAAATCTCATTATAATCCACTTTAATTCTATCAAATTTGACTAAAACAAATCGAAATGTAGAATCTTTATAGTTTAATATCATTAAAAACCTTCGTTGGTATCGGTCTCCGCAGCCCTAACCGTAAGCCTCCTTCCTGAAAATTTCAAAAATGTCAAAAATTTTAGAAATCTCAACCAATAAATCTCACTTGTCAATAGATTGCTGAAGGAAAATTAAACCGAAGTTAAATTAAATTAGGAACAATTGAATTGGAAGATAGAAAAGCAATTCGAACGCTGTTCATCGGGAATTTGAATTTCTCGGCAACCAAACGGAGCGTAACAGCAAGTGGACTCACTGGTAAACGAAACCGAAACCGGCGCGAAGGCGGACTGAGTCGGAACTCGGTTGGCGTTGAGGTTCGATAGGCTAATAGACGACACCATATTGAGTACGGACGCCATTGATGGAGCTGTAAGGAGCTTACTGGCGGAGCACGGAGAGAGAAGAAGTGGAAGAGCTACTGCACGGACTAGCCGATAACTCTAGTACCTACTACCTACTACCTACTACCTACCTGTGAGGCTGTGATAAATGTTTGTCGAAGGTGAGAAAAAGAGCGTCGTTCCGGTGTGATGTGTGTACGGAGTTTAATCTATGACTGCTTACGTGGCGGATCGGACGAGGCTGATGTGATAAATTCTTGGACGAAGTACCATAACCGTTGATGCGCTCTGTCGTCTCAAAGTTAATAGTTAAAGCTATTTTTCCAGAAATTATAATTTACTGTTGCAACGCACTCGCGGAACAAGGGCGTGGAGCAAACAAGGCCGGCTGGCGTGGGCCCGTTGCAGCAGCTCCAATGGAAGGGAACCGGATCCTCTCCAGATCAGAAACTAAGCATGCTGAACAATAAATCAGGACTCTTGAAATTTAATCCAACGGTTACAATTATTATAACTTTTAAAGAACCTCTTGTCTGTAACCATTAGATCAAATTTCAACAGCCTAGGATTTTTTGCTCAACATGCCCAGTTTTTGGGGATTCAAGGGGGATCCGGTTCCCAATGGAAGAGCCAATTGCTCTATGACGTGGTGCGATGAGATTTTTTGGATTTCAATAGTATGATGATCTGCAATGTTGAATTTAAATGGTAAACAAATTTAAAAATTCTTATCGTTAGTCCACGTAGAGCTTTCTGGTATGTCGAATTCAACAATAAGAAAAATCAAATTCTGGATTAATCAGACATGTAAAAATGGAAGAAAAAAAAAGAATGAAAAATAGAAAATTTGTAATTTTTGTAATTTTAAATTCCCAACCATTTTGTTAATTCGCCACACAACAACTCAATATTTATTTTTCCTAGAAACTCCTATATTTGTTTTCACTTTTCAAAACCTTTTGTTATTAAAAAAAAAAAGAGTGATAGGTCCAATTGGTCGGAGAAGAAGTTTTATATGAGGCTTTGATGTGTGTTGCTCATGACCCGTTCACAAAAAATAAGATAAAAGTACAACAAATGTGAAAAAAGATTTAAAAAAAAATATATATTTGTAAATAGTAATCGCCCGACAGACAGAGTTAACAATAACCGTTTTTGAACTTGCCCTATCCTTGCACAGCTGGTCGAATAGCTCTGATATCCATTGGTCACAAACATAAAGTGAAGTTCTAAATATAGTTGGGCTCATTGGACTGTGCGTATTACGCCGAGCTCCCACTTTAACCAGTATTTCGAATAAAGCCCAAATAAGGCTGACTTGTATTCAACGTACCAAGTACTACTAGGGACTAGGGAGCACGATTTGTTAAGAAAATCTCTCTCATAAAGTTACTCGCATGCCACTAACTTTTCGGGATTTTGGAATCTTGAGTCAAAAGGATTTTTGGATTTTGTGTTAAAAATGAATCAAGAAAAGGATGGATGGATGCGGATGGAAATACATCATTTCCGGATCTTGTCTTTCAAAGTTCAAGAATCAAGTGATTCAAACTTTTAAAATTTGATCAAATGATTAAAAACAGATAAGCTAGTAAAAAAATTTAAAAGTTATAATAATTTTTTTACCGTTAAATTAAAATTTAAAGATCCGAATCACTTAATTCATGGTCTTTGACGGGAAAGATCCTAAGAGGATCTCTTTCAGATACAGGCTGCACAATAATTACATTATACAAGTAATAATGCTAGTTTACTTTTCAGTAACTTTACGTTATTACAGCATTGCTTCGAATGTCACTTCAGCTTTCAAAACCTCCGATCTTGTTATCCAAAATATTTTTGGTCCACAATTGCATATCTCCATCGTGCGCTCTCACTATTATTATCATTATCTCGGACGCCCAACTAAGCTTTTGAAATATTTGTTCCTATTATGCCAAAAAAAAAAAATTGGTGTGGCCGTTGTTTATCTCCATCTTGTCACTCTCTCTTCTTCTCATATTATTGTAGAATTCTTATCATTACCTTTTGATTCTCAAAATCTTCAACTTGCGACAAAAAAATAAGAATAAAAAAAAACGATGATGTTACTGTTACATATTCCGATTGTGTTACTATCGTTTCTCACATGATCTCACATGGGTAGAGAAAGTGACCCAATGTATACCTTGGTTGTCTTCTAATATTGAGGCAAAATATGAGATGGGTTTCACATTTGCCTCAATTCTAGAAAGGGCAATTAATTAACTATCGTTTGTTAAAAAAAATGTTCAATTAAAAATAAAATCAATCAAAATCTGTTTTGATCCAATCAGAGCATATAACGGAAACCTAAAAGAATAACCTGGTTCTTATGCCAAAATCTCGCTCTCCCTCCCTTCTCCCTCAATCAATCTTTGTTATGTGCCATGAACGCGCAACAGTACATAAACTGTAACAACACAACTAGTTGAAAACTTGAAACAAAAAAAACTTCAATCAATAGTAGTATAACACCTGATGTATCGAACCGTGTTCCTGACACAATGAAAAAATTCTTCTAAAAAAAAGACTTAGACCAATCAATCCAAAAAGGTACCTCTCTAGATAGAACCTTGGCAGCATAGGAAGATGCTCGATTTCCCATTCCACAAAATCCATTTGGTGCTTCTGCAAAAATTCCCGCCTATTAATTCCCTAATATATACTTCCTTGTTTCACAATCTTCATGTTTCCTTTCTACTATTCAGGAATTTAGATTCCTACATATGCTCAAAGGGAATCCAATTCTCAATCCCATTTAGCACTGACCCTCTTGCCTACAAGAGGAATATTATCGGAATTTTCCCAACTTAAAGGACATTACCTCTGCAGATACCAACACTATTTGCCGACAAACCCATCTTCTGTGTAATCATTTCTTGTGCATGGAATCAAACAAGCACAAGATGCAATGCTAGATCTTAACCACATATACAACTAATTGTTTTTCGATCATGACATTGAACTCTTCTTCTTTTTTTAAAAGGGAGATCAGCTAGTGATTTGTTTCTGAGGTCAAACGGAGATCGGAAAGACTCAAAGAGACATTTGAGCATCTCCTAACCACCATCGTATGATTCACTAGCGCAAGGAATCGAACCCAAAATGTGTCGTATGAAAAACGAATATGAAATTCGTCCCTAAGTTCCTAACCACTAAACCACCTGTGATAGTTATGACATCGAACTCTTGAGTCATTCTAATTTTAACATATTATTTCAAACTTCTTCACCATTTGACTACTTCACGGCTTATAGCATGTTAAGAAGGCTATGATTGGAATGCGTCTAAAAATTAAATAACGATAATTTAAGTCTTGATAAAGATTGATGAATATTTTTTGAGCTGATCGAGACTTGATGGAGTTGACCAGACTCGTAAAATGAACTTATGCGTGATTGTGAGGCAATTACCATAAACTAATGTTTCACACTACAAAAATTTCAGTTTGAAAAGAAAAAACCACAAACTAATTCTCTTTGGATCATGATGTATTTTTTCACTTATGCCATTGAAGTATACCGAATTTAAACAAATAATTATATAATTATACATCAGAAATTGAAATAATCATAAATTGACTCAAGTAACAAAATCTTGGCCCAATAAAGATTGATGAAGATTCGTGTAGGCCAATGAGAGAAGGAAATTTAGGATTTTTATTGTCTTCACTTGTTTGGCATGCTGGTCTTCCTATAGAAGATTCATCATTTTATACATTAAGATTTCTTAAGTATGCAGACCTACAAGTTTGTTCTTCTTGATATGTGATTTTCTTTTTTACATAATCCTTTTAGATTTTCTTTTTGGTTTTACAGCTTGTCGTGCAGGTTCTTGTCATTTAAATTTTATTTTAGAGGGGCTTGGTCCTACTCCTATGTCCCCCTACTTCTTTTTCTTCTATTTTCTTTTTCTTTATGTCCCATTTTTCTTGTATTTTCTTTTTCAATAGAAGTAAGGTTTATGTCCATTTTTTCCTATATTTTGTTATTCTTGCTTTATGAGAGAGTAAGGTTTATGTCCATTCTCCCGACTACGTATAATTTATTTTTCATATCAATAAAATTCCCTCATACAATCTAGGTTCTTAAAAAAACATGATTGAGACTTTGATGGAGTTGGACTTGTAAAATGAAATTATGCAAAACTGTGAGGCAATTACCACAAACTATTATTTTGCGAAATGAAAATGCCACATTTCTCAACCAAAAAGTGACACGTGAATCACGTGTAAATATGTTTTTTTTTTTTTAACAAACAATATTATCTACACTAAAACTATTTCCAACTCATGGGATAAAGCTTAAAATATAACATTTAAAACCTCCCAAACCATCTCCAACCATTGGGCTAAAATAAGTCACGAGGAGAAAATATATCTCTAGGCTGAATTCCTCCCGAGGATTTAAGTCTGACTTAAATTATTCTGAACCATCAAACTGTCATATTTCAAAACTTTTTATGTTTGTTACTTATAATCTAACAACTTTAATCAAAAGAAATCAAATCTAATGTTAAAAAAAAATTTGACAGCCTAAAATAAATCTAACGTCTAGAAATCAAATTTAATTTAAAACTTTATAAATACCTATGTATTTGTATGATTTTTAATTATTTATCAGAATTTAAATATTTTTAGATTAAATTTTTCATAAAAATAAATTAGGATTATCTACATATATTTTATTTTCAAAAAAGTTATCAAAAAGAAAAAATTAGGCTAAAATCATTATTTAATAATTTCGGGCTAAAATTTTAAACCATAAAAGTTGGAGGAGAAAAGTAGTTTTTGAGTTATGACTTAAAAGTTTATGGCTTAGATTTTTAAGTTTTATCCCCAAGAGTTGGAGATGGTCTAAGGAGGAGGAAGTGCGCTCAGCCTCACAAGAGATTAGCAATAATGTGGTCCAAATTTGCCTTTGGCGAGAATCAAACTTAAGACCTCTCACTTACAAGTGAAGAGGAATCTCACTAGACCGTAGTACTAATTGACCATAGATTTTATTAGATTAGATGTTAGAGTGGCTAACGACGGAGTTTGAACCCATGCCGGCATTGAAAGGCTCAACACCTTTTCACTATTGTGATAAAGGGTCACTTGCAAATCCG